ATGTCTAGATCGACTCAGCTAGTCGAGATATGACGATCGGTATACTTAAAGGTGGGTCTAGGACCAATATTTCGCGGCGTTACAAACTTTTGGGGCTGCACAAAGCTATAATACCCTGACAACATAGTTGTGTAGGGTATAATTACGATCTACAAAGCTAGAATCGATATTGAAAATTTATAATTTTCAAAATGTTGACGCTTTGTGTGGGTGATACCAAAAGGGGTGGACTGATTGGTCCAATCTTCGGTCTTGAAATTGGACTTCTTTGGATTTTTTCGAACTCGAATTCCGGTCGCTTCATATACACGATAACCTCATTTTTTTTCAAACATAATACCGGCATGCTTAAAATATTAGGTTCTGCAAAGCTTGGTTCTAATCGGATATTCCGGTTACATTATTTGATAAAAATTTACCATTTTATGGGATAGGTGCCAGAAAGGGTGGACCGTTATTGTCCATGTCTTTAAAATTATACAATGGAAAGTAATCGAATAACAAAAACGTCGCTATTAAATACGTCAGGGATTTTTTTTTAAATGTTCATAACTTTAGGCCTCAAATTGAACATAAAACCACAACTACCAGGAAAATCTACCTTTCCGCGGTTCTATTCTGAGCCTGGGCAATTGTTCGCGATATTTACAACCTCTTGGCCGATTATAGGTCAACAGCTCCACTTTGTAACCCCGGTATATTTATCAAGTCTTGTTTTCCCGAGGTGAATATTTTCGCCATAAAATAAAAATTTGTTCACTTTAGATTTTGGTTGATTTGACCAGCCGTTCTAAGTATTTGGTCAGATCCCCTTCATCGTGTAAAATATGTGATGTTCTGCATGTAATAATGGCCGCTAGAGCGACTATAAATTGGACAAAAATTATGTTTTCTTTTCATTGCTCCCCCTAAATATAATTTCAACATATCCGAAAATTATAGACGTCGTCCTTGACCATAACCGGAACTTCATGTAAAATTTCATAGTGATCAGCGCGATATTTCCGTCCTCCAGTAATACTAACCAATATCATAACACATAGACACATTTCAATGGTTACGAATAACTCTCACATCGTAGTACATAAATTGGTATCAATGTAAAGGTCAACAAATCTCCTTGGATATATTCTGAACTTCTATGTCCTTCAGGAGTAAATATATAGGCTCCAGAATACAAATTTTGTAATTTTTCACACAAAAGTCAGGGTCTATTTGACCCGCTAAATATTGGCCAATCTTCATCAAAACAGTCATGCTTATTCTTGCTGTCTAATCAGTTGATAAGCTATTTATAAATACAAATAATGCATATAATAAATTAAATTCAGTCAAAAATAAATTCAGAACGATTTTCCAAAATTTTGTTTGAAAAATCGGTTTCTTAGACTACAAACCTAGCTAGAACCAGTGAGCGGAGCAGTATAGTCGGACGGGGCCGACCATACGATACCCTACACAACTACCACGAACTCTAACTTTCTGAGGATGTTTATTCCGAGTCTGAGTAATATTTCGTGATATTTGCCCCCTCTTGTCCGATTAGAGGTTAACAACACCTCTTCCTTACTATTTTCGAATATTCAGTACAGTCCTTCTAATTACTTGTCCAGATTACCTTCACGGTGGGTTGTGTTGTGATTTTTGGATTATACTCTACTCGAAAACACACAAAAAATTATATTCTCCGTCCATTTCATCCCAAAATTTTAATCTGATTATCACTGAAAATTATAGGCGTTGTTCTTGACCATAACTGGAACCTCATGAACAATTTCAAAGCCATCAGCGCGATATTTCTCCCTCTAATGTGGTAATGGGTTACTAAATAATATCTGAATACGTAAGCACCTGTAAATATTTGACTGTAACTCCCACATCTGAGTAGATACATCACTATATTTGGTATCAATTTAAAGGCCAACCACTCCTCTTGGATATGCTATCAACTCCTGGGGTCTACATCCTCCAGGAGTAAATATATATGCCATAGAATACAAATTTTGTCATTTTTCACACAAAAGTCAGGGTCCATTTGACCCGCTAAATATTGACCGATCTTTATCAAAACATGCATGCTTATTCTCTGGCCCGATCCCCTTCTCCATGCAAAAATTCGCGGTGTTTGGGCCATAATTGCGGCCTCTGGAGCGACCAGAAAAACCGACAAAAATTTAGTATTTGGTCCATTTCATCCCCTAAATGTTAACCGATCTTTTCCAAAAACAATAGGGGTCTTCATTGGCCAGAACCCATCCTACATGCAAAATTTCGTGAAGATTGGTCCATAACTGTGGCCTGTATCGTGTTTACAAATTATAATGGACAGACGGACGGACGGACGGACGGACGGACACACATGTCTAGATCGACTCAGCTAGTCGAGATATGACGATCGGTATACTTAAAGGTGGGTCTAGGACCAATATTTCGCGGCGTTACAAACATTTGGGGCTGCACAAAGCTATAATACCCTGACAACATAGTTGTGTAGGGTATAAATACCATTGGAGAATGTAGAGAAACGTTCTTGCCATTTCCATATCGGTTATATCTCCAAGAGTTGTTGAGATTTTCCCTTGAAATTTTATAGAAACATTCTCAAATTAGTGTAGGTTCGAATTAATTCGAAAATAAAACATTTTTTGAGGCCGATAATGACGAGATTTAAGGGGACCCCATTCATTCTCAGTTTCAAAAAATTTAATTTTGTTTTCTGATTTGATTCGAATCTACACTAATTCAAGAATGTCCCCATAACATTTCAAGTGAAAATCTCAACAACTCTAGAAGATATAGCCGATTTATTGTGTCAGCATTTAGGGACAGATGAAGTGGTTCTCAAACTTTAAACGCGTGTTTATGTTTTTACAAGTGTCGGGCACGATAACTCAAAAACTAATAATCCAATCGCTTCAAAATTTTGACACGTTTCTCTGTGAGTATATAGCCATCGGTCAAGATCTGTCTTATTTTCGAGCTTGCTTTTTGATCAAAAATAGTCGATGTTCCGAAAAACGTCCGCTATTTTGTTTATTTTTGAGCGAAGTCAATAATCCTAGTTCATAATTTTGATTTCATCCAAACTTTGCCCATCTTATTATCGGTCCACTCTTGCTAGTAACTCCCACACAGGGGCTAGGCCTAAATGTGAGTTCATATATAGTTCACTATCGAACCTTACGTTCTAGCTTTTTATCTCGATATCCTCCGCAGGTGAAATGATTACGACATACTCTTAGAACCAAACCCAAAACGCGGAACAAATAAGATAACTATTTTAATATAAAAAAGGGGGTTATTTGGGGACTACCCCAAAAAGGGGGGCGAATATTAATAATTTTTGGTGGGGAGATTTGTTACCATATACGACTACAAAATACCAAATTGCAGCGAATTCGGTAGAAAAACGCGCTCAAAAACCCCAAAATACCGAAATTTGGAGGTACCCTTATATGGGGGCTATCCGGAAAAAATGGACCTATATTCATAATTTTTTGTGGAGTGATTTGGTACCCATTAAGAACTCAAAATACTAAATTACAGCCAATTTGGTGGAAAAATACGATCAAACCTCACAATATACTGAAAATTAAAAGGTACCGTTATATGGGGACTACCAGAAAAAGTGGATCTATATTTATAATTTTTTGTGAAGACAATAAGAACCCAATGTACCAAATTTCAGCGTATTCGGTTGAAAACGCGCTCATGATCAGCAAAATACCGAAAATTGGGGGTTACTGTTATATGGGAGCTATGCCTAAACGTGAACCGATATATCCCATCTTCGAACTTGACCTGCCTGCAGACAAAAAACAAACCTATGCAAAATTTCAGCACCCTATCTTAATTCCTTCCGAAGATAGCGTGATTACAACAGACGGACGGACATGGCTAGATCGTCTTAGAATTTTACCCTGATCATATATATACTTTATAGGGTCGGAAATTAATATTTCGATGAGTTACAAACGGAATGACAAATATAGTGGAGGGTATAAAAATGCATACGAAATATTTTAAAATCAACATTTTCAGGCTATACATAGGTACCTTGTAATATTTTAAAAGTTTCCAAATTTTGGGTCATTAAAGCAACGTTTTAAATGCATTAAAAAATAAATTACAAAAATGTACCCCCTCGATAATTCCACTTTTTTCTATGAACCTAATTTTTTAGGCGCTTTAAAAATCTTTTTCCAAATATATAAATCTACAAACTATAACTTAGCTTTCCGAACTTTTCGAGTACTGCTAGTTACTAGTCCATAGACGGAATTATATGAGTCACCAAACGCTTATATTTAAAGATCAATCAGCTGATTAGTTGTATTTGTATAACAAAAATATTGCATACTTTTAGGATTAAAATAGGTTACTGCTAAATGTTTTTTTTTTTTTTTTTTGAATACGAACGTTTTTTTAGTGAGAACCATCATCGCTTTTCACATTTGTGATATTTTACAAATTTTAATGCATATTTTTCGGATGAAATTTATTTGTGTCTGCCTTATTTAAATGCATACTTTTAGGCTGTGATTCTAATGTAATAAATATAAAATATTAAAAAATTTAAATGCTACTCTACACAGATCTGTTGTACAATTTCACTAAAAACTTGACTATAAAAACTAAATAAAAGAATTTAAAAAGTTTTTTAAAACATTATGTACTTATATAAAACGTAGGTATATAAAAATAACAAAAAAAAAACATTCAATATAACAACGTGCTTGGATGATGAATTAACAACCAGATGCAGCGATAATAACTAAAATAATAATTAAATAAATTAAAAAAAATATACACTATATAAAAATAAAAATATTAAAAATAACTTAAAAACAAAGGTTTACAAAAATACTATTTCTATATATTTTGCAAATATTAAAATATAATAATTTTCAAATTTTTTTATTTTATATATTTTTTGTTTATAATTTCCTTTTTTATAAACAATGAATATTTTTGATTTATTTTCTTTCGAATTATTTCAGGCGTTACTATTCTACTGTCACTAACAGTATTTCTAAATCTTGTTGCTGAATCAATGCCGACAACGTCGGATGCTGTTCCTCTTATAGGTACACTGAAAAAAAAAAACAAAAATTCTCTTTAGAGCTAGAAAGCAAAAAAAATGAAGAAATGCATATGATTTTTTTAAATTTTTTAGTTTTTTTTTAGAACAAAAAATTAGTGGAAATATTTCAAGAAATTTTTAAAACGAAAAAAAAATTAAAAAAAATCCAAATTCGAAAAAAACATTAATATTGTAAATTTCTAAAAACATATAAATTTTATAAATTTCTTGAACTATTTCATTTAGCTTCTTTATTTTTATTTATTTTTTTCTTTAGTGCTTTTTTCTGTTGTCTGAGCTATGCCAACCAAATTTATTGATTTGTAGTGTCCATGAAAGGAAAACTTAACAAAAACCGAATCGATAACATATCTCGGGAAACTGCCATTGACACATTGAATGATTTCAAACCAAGCAACCACTACACTCACACAAAAACAAAAAATACCAATTATTTCGTTTAGTTTGTTCTCTCTGCCCCATCCATCTTTTAATAGAGGAATGCAATTGAATGAAAGGAAACCCCATTTAGAATGTCTTGGTTAGTGGAAGAACTATTAGAACAACCCTAGATACAAGAATGTGTTTTTAGAATCCGAACTACATGCAAACGATCATCAATCAGGACCAAATGAAAGATATCAAAAATATCATAAATCATTTGAAAATTTTAAACATTGTCAAGCTAAAGGCCTTCAAAAAATTAAAAAAAAAAACTCACGCCTTATATAAGTCTTAAAAAAATATTTAAAAAATCCACGCTATTTATATTAAATCTTCAAAAAAATTATTTAAACCAGTAAGGAAAGCAGTAAAGTCGGACTGGGCCGACTATATGATACCCTTCACCACTTTGGGTATATTGTCCTCTTATATCCTTACAATTGTATGTCAATGGTCCTTCGAAGGGACATACTCATGTCTTCGACAACTATGATAAATTTAATTTTCCCGAAACTAATCCACGCCTTATATGGGTCTTCAAAAAAATTATTTTAAAAATCCACGTCTTATATGGGTCTTCAAAAAAAAAACCAGTAAGGAAAGTAGTAAAGTCGGACGGGGCCGACTATATGATACCCTTCACCACTATGGGTATATTAAGCAGGACTATAACATAAAATTGGATGAAAAAAATGTGATATTTATCTAAATGTGAATCTACCTAGATCTATCCATAAAGTATGTCAATCGACTTCAAACAAATATAAATAGGTCATCCGTTGGGCTATGTCTGCACTTCTAGAAAACGCAACTACGTAATTCTATGCTCAATTTTTTAAGTTGTGCAAAATTTGATGTCAATCTGACTAACATGAGGAGTTTGATGCCCAATTTACTAGAAATCGGGCGAAAATATATATGGAAGCTCTATCCAAATATTGAGCGATTTCAAACAAACTTGTCACAGGTTAGGTTATACAACTTTCAGAACGTTTTATTCCAATTGGTTCCTTAGTACGTCAATTACTTAAAATCAATCTATAATAAAAGGGAGCTATATCTAAATCTGGACCGATTTTCACGAAACTTGGCAGACATCATTCTAGGCTCAATTAAGTACGTTATGCCAAATTTCGTGCAAATCGAAGGATATATAGGGACTTTGGTGCACCATTTACATGAAATCGGACGAAACTATATATGGGAGCTATATCTAAATCAGGACCTATTTTCACGAAACTTGGCAGACATCATTCTAGACTCAATTCAGTACGTTATGCCAAAATTCGTGCAAATCGGAAGATATTTAGCGACTTTGGTGGACCATTTACATCAAATCGGACGAAACTATATATGGGAGCTATATCTAAATCTGGACCGATTTTCTCCAAACTTGGCAGACATCCCTCTAGGCTTAATTCAGTACGTTATGCCAAATTTCGTGCAAATCAGAAGATATATAGGGACTTTGGGCACTATTTACATGAAATCGGACGAAACTATATATGGGAGCTATATCTAAATCTGGACCGATTTTCACGAAACTTGGCAGACATCATTCTAGACCTAAATGATTAGGCTGTACCAAATTTCGTGCAAATCGAAAGATATATAGGGACTTTGGGGCACCATTTACATGAAATCGGACGAAACTATATATGGGAGCTATATCTAAATCTGGACCGATTTTCTCCAAACTTGGCATACATCACTCAAGGCTTAATTCAGCACGTTATACCAAATTTCGTGCAAATCAAAAGATATATAGGGACTTTGGGGCACGATTTACATGAAATCGGACGAAACTATATATGGGAGCTATATCTAAATCTGGACCGATTTTCACGAAACTTGGCAGACATCATTCTAGACCTAAATGATTAGGCTGTACCAAATTTCGTGCAAATCGAAAGATATATAGGGACTTTGGGGCACCATTTACATGAAATGGGACGAAACTATATATGGGAGCTATATCTAAATCTGGACCGATTTTCTCCAAACTTGGCATACATCACTCTAGGCTTAATTCAGCACGTTATACCAAATTTCGTGCAAATCAAAAGATATATAAGGACTTTGGGGCACCATTTACATGAAATCGGACGAAACTATATATGGGAGCTATATCTAAATCTGGACCGATTTTCACGAAACTTGGCAGACATCATTCTAGACCTAAATGATTAGGCTGTACCAAATTTCGTGCAAATCGAAAGATATATAGGGACCGTTTACATTAAATCGGTTGAATATATATATGGGAGCTATATCTAAATCTGAACCGATTTTTCCCAATTTCAATAGGGTTCGTCCTTGGGCCGAATAAGTGACCTATGCCAAATTTCATCCAATTCGGATCATAAATGCGACCTGTACTTTGTTTACAATTTAACATGGACAGACGGACAGACGGACAGACGGACGGACGGACGGACGGACGGACATGCATAAATCGACTCAGAAAGTGATTCTATGCATATTCTCAAAAGGAACCATGTGTCTATCTCGTTTCCTTTTGCCTGTTACAAACATATGCACAAAGACATAATACCCTGTACCACAGTGTGGTGAAGGGTATAAAAATATTTAAAAAAATCCAAGCCTTTTATAGGCCTCTAACAATATTTTTAAAATTTCCTTTAGCTTGGCAATGTCTAAATATTTTTTTATTGTGCAACAAAATCTGTAAAACTATACATATTTCATATCGATATTCATTTAGAATTTCCCAGAATTCATTTTTGCTTGCAAGTGCAAATAATTTAATAAAAAAACTAAATAAAACCCTAACCTTAGCATTGAAAGTATTTCATAGGAAATTGTCCATCTCAATATCGGAATTCTTAAATACTCCCATAGAAAATTTCTACATCTGTCTTGAAACCACAAATAATTGGTATTTACAGTCTAAAATCCAAAAAGAACGAAAACGCATTTTCATACAACATTTTATTTAAATATGATTATGTGTTTGTGTTAGTTTTGTACGCACACCAACAAACAAACATCAACTCAGAACTGAAAAAGGATTTTTTGTATACACACACATTTAAATTTTAACCACATTTAGATTTTCACACAAACACCGCAAAATTCCTTTACACACCCACACACACATAAACAGATGTTTTGGTCATAGGAATAGTTTTGTAACACTCACACACACCCACACACACATAACCTTACTTAAAAATTCACTCTTTCTGTGAAAACCCCAAACTAAATGTTTACTTTTTCTAAATGTTTTCCCTGATTTTTCTTTCCTTCCATTCGTATTTTTTTGTGTTGGTTATGATTTCAATATTTGCATATGATTTCCACAAACTGAAATGAAAATATGAAAATTTTCCGCAAACAAAAAAAAAACAACAATCAAGCAAATAATTTGATCGATCGATGTGGTTTATGCTTTTTTCGGAAAGAAATTGTCTTAGACGTTTGTTTTTTTATTTTATTTTCTTCTTATCTGACACAAACACCTACATACATATGAGTTTTCTTCTTGTTTGATTTTTTTTTCTTTTTTTTTTTTTTTTTGAATAAAAAACTCAGTTATTTGAATATGGAAAATTGATGGATACTACCTTTTTTATTTTTGAGGTTATGTAAATGTCGATTTTACTTTACTTTTGTTGGAAATTTTTCATTTAAATATTGAAAATATTTTAGGAATTTATTTTGTATCATTTTTCAAATGACCATCACATAAATCACACACATTGATACAGTGTTCGGTAATGTTACATTTGGATGTGATTCATAACATCATCATGAAGGAGCATTCATTTTTAATTTTTTTATACAGTGGCAAAAATGGAGAGGGCCATCGAAAAATCCAAATCCACGCCATATATGGGCCTTGGAAAAATATTCTTTAAAAAATCCACGCCTTATATGGGCCTTGGAAAAATATTCTTTAAAAAATCCACGCCTTATATGGGCCTTGGAAAAATATTCCTTAAAAAATCCACGCCTTATATGGGCCTTGGAAAAATATTCTTTAAAAAATCCACGCCTTATATGGGCCTTGGAAAAATATTCTTTAAAAAATCCACGCCTTATATGGGCCTTGGAAAAATTTTCTTTAAAAAATCCACGCCTTATATGGGCCTTGGAAAAATATTCTTTAAAAAATCCACGCCTTATATGGGCCTTGGAAAAATATTCTTTAAAAAATCCACGCCTTATATGGGCCTTGGAAAAATATTCTTTAAAAAATCCACGCCTTATATGGGCCTTGGAAAAATATTCTTTAAAAAATCCACGCCTTATATGGGCCTCGGAAAAATATTCTTTAAAAAATCCACGCCTTTTTCGGGCCTTGGAAAAAATTATTTAAAAATCCAAGCCTTATATGGGCCTCGGAAAAAATTATTTAAAAATCCAAGCCTTATATGGGCCTCGGAAAAATATTCTTTAAAAAATCCACGCCTTTTTCGGGCCTTGGAAAAAATTATTTAAAAATCCAAGCCTTATATGGGCCTCGGAAAAATATTCTTTAAAAAATCCACGCCTTATATGGGCCTCGGAAAAATATTCTTTAAAAAATCCACGCCTTATATGGGCCTCGGAAAAATATTCTTTAAAAAATTCACGCCTTATATGGGCCTCGGAAAAATATTCTTTAAAAAATCCACGCCTTATATGGGCCTCGGAAAAATATTCTTTAAAAAATTCACGCCTTATATGGGCCTCGGAAAAATATTCTTTAAAAAATCCACGCCTTATATGGGCCTCGGAAAAATATTCTTTAAAAAATCCACGCCTTATATGGGCCTCGGAAAAATATTCTTTAAAAAATCCACGCCTTATATGGGCCTCGGAAAAATATTCTTTAAAAAATCCACGCC